GACCCCCTCAGAGTTACACAATATTGAGCATATGTTGCATTGTTTCATGTTTTGTTTTTGTACAACAGTGTTGAGGCATTGAAATAAACTGTTTTATACTTTATTAGGCACTTGTGACTTTTAAGAATAAACCCATTGTCCTCATTTAAGGACATCGTTTTTTCAAAAGCTACTTACTGTTCAAAGTCAAAGCTTAATCTTTATACTTATCAGATCCTACTGATCTGAATAACTGAATAACTTGGAGAAATTAAAAATGCATACTAAACAATAGCTCGGGGCTCAGGAGGATAATATAATACAACTTAACAGCGATATAAACTATGTTGTAAAATAACAAAAGTATAAGCATCAAAATATACTGAAATGACTAAAACTAAACATTTTCATTATCCAGAATGACCCGATTAATGTGCACACTGAAATGTTGCAGCTGGTAAATGTGGGGCTTTAAGACTTTTTATACTGCTGGGTAGCTTAACCTGTAACAATATATCATAATGTATGTATTATCATCTTGTTGTATCATGTACTGTACATAAAAAGCTTTGATATATGATGATGGGGGATTTGTGTTGAGAGATTATTTTTTGAATTTTGAATGATTTAAAACAAAATGTTTTTCTCCCTTAAAGTAAAAATGTAAAGTTAGACCCTTTGGGGCAAGACACTCCTTTAGACAGGGGTTGAAAACCCCCAAGGACGTCCTTTTAGTTCAGTTATCTTCATGTAGTCATGTGTGACTTTATTTAATTCATAGCTACATATAGAAGTAGTACTGTATTGTAGTTTTGTATTGTATTGTAACTGGCAACCTTATCATCTTATTTCTTCCAACAGTGTGTTGGTTATGCATCATCATCATGTATGTGGTAAAATCATATCCAAATATATATTTTTTTAATATACAGTAAATTTACTTTTTTCTTAAAGGAGGGCATCTTCTCTATGTTACCCTACAATATTTGCCTCTGAATTGCAGTAGAGTAGAAGTATTAACTAGCATAAAATGGAAATACTTTAAGAATACAGCAAGTAGCTTTTTAAGAATTGTACATAGCACAGTACTTGAGTAAATGGATTTAGTTACCATCAAAAAAGTACATAATAATAGTAATATGAATACAAAAGTAATAGTAAGAAGAATAATGGGTTTTTTTTTCCTATAGCACTTGCATGAAAATAAAACAACAATAATAATAATACTTTTTTTTAAAATGTGAAGAGCTAAGACAAATAGTGTGTACAGAGGCAAATATAAAACAGAAAGAAATAAAACACAAAAGTACAAATCAGGTTTCAAAAAGGAACATTTCGAGGCTCATCTTTTTAAGGCGAAAGGGGAAGTAGGAGAAGTGACCTATCTTGTGGTTCAAGTTCTGTCTGTACTCTTTGACTGTACCTCGCTCTCCTGCCCCCTGGTGGCGGAGCGATACATGACGCCTTTGACGACCATGCTGACCCGAGGATGACCTCCAATAACGGACAGGGAAAAACAACAGAAAACAAACAATATACTGTGTGATAATCTCATTTATGCATATAAATATTTTAAAACCAACTCATAATATTTTTTTGACGTGGGACCGGATTTATCGGGAGCACTAAGACGGTGAGTGAAGCAGATGTTTGTCCCCCGCCCGCGTTTTTGTGTAACACCACCACAGCCAGCTGGAAGAAAGTAGTGCAAACTGCTCAGGTTGTCGTCAGAGGTTTAGTTGTAGTCCGTAATGTAATGTTCATGACATGTTAACTAACAGGAGGTGTGTTATGACTAGTTTACTCCTCCTTACTCTAACCCGGGAGGTCCGGTTGTGTTGAGCGCGGCTAACGTTAGCTTGCTGCTAGCTGTCTGCAGTGATGCTAACATGCAGGTGTGCAGATTAGCATTAAAGGAGACACTGCAGGTGAACACCGCATTATCTGTAACTAATACATAAGTTACCACCACGAAACTCAAGTGAAACAGGTGATGACTTATAGTAACACAATTATTTTTTTGTATAATAAGTTTTCTCGATGTTTATGTTAATATGTAGTATCTAATTAAGTATGCACTAATTTGCATACATTCCCACAAAGATCTGAATATTTGATTAGATCAGGTTCAAAGTTCCTGTTTTGCTCACATGTTAGAGTCAATTTCTGTCACTGAGGGGATTTATGATATCTCTTATTATCACTCCATAAACCAGACAATACTGTCAACAGCCTTATCATGTTTTAAATTTAGTTTATTTATTTATTTAGTACAATTAAAACACAAAAGGGCAAGAAAAATGAATAATGAAATACACTGCAGGGGGTTGTTATTAATAACGCAGAAGTACAGAAATATAAAGAACAATACATTAAATAATACAAGTAATAACAAACTACTAATTGCAAAATATGTTTGATTGAAAAAAAAAGCAGCAACAGTACTATCAATTTAAGAGCAGGAAGTGTGAGTATGTGTGTTTTAGGAATAAATTGTCACATAAATCAGACTGTGACTGATAATATGAACAAAAATTCTTCCGTTCAAACCCTTTGGAATACACATGGGAATAAAACTGGATAGCCTGGTGTATGTAAATGCTACTAAAACTGAGAATTTTGGCTTATAGTATGAGGAACTTATTTTAAGGGTAGAAATTTTAAGTAACAGATATCACCACTGAACTTCTTTAGCTGGTTACTTACATTAAGATAATTATTTTGTGTATTACAAGTTTAGATATACAAATCAGATATTATCTTTTTAAATGTGCCCTTTTGCATACATTTCCAATACAGAAATCTGAACTTAAATAAACACCTAAATCTGTATTTTGGACATTTCCTTTCCGCCAGTCTGAAAGGAGACATATTATGGAAGTAAATTAGCCCAAAACCTCTAAATTGTCCAGTGTATTAAAAAATTATGCTTTCACATGAGGTGTCTCACTAACTTCTCATGCACACATTCCTGATTTTAACAGATATTAAGACCAATAAATCTGTTAAAGAGAGTTTTAATGCAATTTGTAGTGAGCAAAAGGCTCTCTACAATGGGGTTTAGAAATAAACTGACATTCAAGGCTGTTAATACGTAGTCATTGTTGGATTTAATATGCAAAATGTAATACTATCAGTTAAACTGTTCTCTTTGAAACAGAAATTTAGGACACAAATAATTAATGACTGTCAAAATATAGCTACAGAACTAACTCAATAAATAACATAAGTACACAATCTAAATGTGTGATGTAAGTTTAATGTAACAGCTCCCTTCACTGTAACAACTGTTACGCTGCTTTACAGTACTTCAACTCCCCTGCTCAAAAAGTACATAATGTCTGATAAGTGGTGGTGATAATACACTGATTTGTCCAAATTCTGCTTTTACAGAGAGAGAAACATGTGCAAAACAGACAAAATCCCACTCATATTAGCCTGACTGAAGTCAAGTCTTTTCCCCAGTGGGTACCAGTATAAGTGTGTACGAAATCTTATTAAATCTGTTATGTGAGCTCTTGGTGTGCTGTGCCTTTTCATGAGCCTGATGAACATGAAGCAAAGTGTGTCACTAACACAAACACGTGTGTTTTATTGCAGTCACAGTCGTGTCAAAAGACATATTTGCACCAAATGCAAATCACCTTTATTAATCCACCCTCATTCTCCTCTCTGCTCCTCCTCTGAAGTGGATGGGGAGATGTGGTGCTACCAGAAACCGGGGTTTGAAGCCCTCGTCCTCGCTGAGCTGCAGAGACAGCAGCAGTGCAGCCAGTTCTGTGACACTCTGCTTAAAACAGAAGGTATAAAAACAGCTACAAATACACACACACCACACTGTCGCCATTCATTCATCGTCTTTTGCTGTGTGAGTCCATTTTATCAGTACACTGTGTAGGAGGTTTGTATACAGACAATTTGGAGTTCTAGTTTCATGTAGTTGTGGAAACCATCATCATTACTGACACTGTTTGTCTCCTCCAGGTATATCAGTGCCAGCACACAGCTGTATTCTCTCAGCCATCAGCCCTCACATCTCCTCCGCTCTGTCCTCCGCACCGCCGCCCCCTGCAGGACAGAGCCACCTCTTGGAGTTTAATGCTCTCGGCACCTGCACCCTGCTACACATGGTCAGGCTGTTATACTGTGGGGAGATGACAGGGGAGGGGGAGAAGGAGAAGCAAGATGCTATTTCTGCTGCAGCCAAGCTGGGCATCCACGGGCTGGTGGAGGTCGCAAAAGGTGATCTTAAGGACAGAAAAGAGGACGGGCAGCATGCGGAGGTAGGAGTGCAGACAGAGCCATTGATGCCTGAGGTGAATGAAGGGAGACGGGGCAGGTGGAGGAGAGAAGTGAGAGAGGGGAGCACGTTTCTGTGGAAAGAGACGCCATCAGAGGGTGAAATAGACATGTGGACTCAGACAGAGGAGCTGGAAGTAAACACAGCTCCCACCTCTCAACCAGCAGCCTTGGAAACCATAGATATGTCTGCTCTCCAGAGTTTAGGGACAACAAACTCCCAGCTCGTTCCCCCTAACATTCCCTACATCCCCATGTCCCTCGTCTACCCGCCAGATGAAAACCAAATGCACCAACCTTCCTCTGCTCTCATAGACTCTATACAAGTATCCACAGCAGCTGGACACACATCTGTCGCTGCTGTGGCACCACCGCCCAGCTTCATCTCCCCACCCCTTCCTTTACCCAGCCAGGTGGCCCCGTGTGCTGCTGACCCTCAGAGCTGGTGGGCGGCCCCCCAGGAAGCAGCCAGCACTGTCAGAGCAGCTGAAGAATGGGAGGATGAGCAGTTAGAGCAGTTTCAAGACAACATCCCTGGATACATCAGCTACTTCCTGAACCCGCCTGAGGAGGAGGGTCCCCCCAGGGGGCGAGCAGGGAGGAGGCAGGGAGCAGGGGCGGGAGGTGCAAGGAGAGCTGGGATGGGTGAGAGAAGAGCCGGGAGACCAAGAACGGGAGGGAGGGGTAGGGGAAGGTTAACGCAGATGGTGGATGTGCAGGAGGTGGGGGTGAGCAGGCTGCAGAAGATGTTCTTGCATAGGTGGGGGCTAAGGGCTTCCAAGACGGGTCAGGGCGGAGGAGCTGCGGGCAGGAAGTTATACCTGAAGACCAGAGAGCTTCTGAAGACCAACAAGAAGAGAAGAGGGCGCAGCAGTGTGTGGGAGTCCAGCCAGAGTGGAGACATGCCGCCGTACAGTGGGACAGGAGGAGGTAACACGCAGCATAAAAGGAGCACAACGCAGCTGTTGAAGCAGGTGAGACTGCTGACAAAACACTGCCCTGTATTTAACATAATCCAAATTAAATACTTATACATCTGCACTCTGTATTGTAGCATAATTAATGTGCTTTTCTCCCCTGGTGCAGGAAGGCCCTCCTGTTGGCAGGGCTCAGAGGGCAAGGGCCAAACCAACAACCTCACAGCCTTTTCCATCGCCCGCCCTGCTGCCACCTAAAGCCTCTTACGTGCCTCCAGCCTCGTCTCTCCTCCACATCACCTCCCTCCCTCCTCCAGTTCCTGCTTATCACGAGGAACACTTTGAACGTCTGTTGGAGGAAATGATGATGGGCCTCGATATTTTACCAAACAACAACGGTGCTCCACACTCTCAGCCTCTTCCAAACAGTAGCAGCAGTCATGCTTACGCCTCCTGTGGCAGTACTTTGGCCCAAAACAAACAACAAGGCCACTCCACTGCAAACTATGAGATGCCCGTTCTGCAGCATCAGGGAGAAGGAGCGCTGAGTGAGATACTTGATGACTTCCTCCAGTCCTTTGAGCAGCACATTGACAGCTGTGCTGCCAGGGAAGAGGTGGAGATGGGTAGTCGGAGCTGCACAGAGTCTAGCCAGCCTCATACCGTCCTGAGCAAAGACAGAAAAACCAAGACGCCTCACAACCATCATCTACAGAATAAACACACACCTGGTTCAGTCAGACACTCTCAAATAACTGAACTGCAAAAGAGTGATGCAGCTGGAAGACAGCCGGGACATTCACAGCCACGCAAGGCTTCTGCTCCCAGTGCCACTCTATCCAAACATACTGAGGGATCACCGGGGAAAGTCAAAGCACCGGCCAGACGACGGAGGAGAAGAAAAAATGAGTATGCATTTGGGATTAAGGTGAAGGTGAGGAAGTCAGAGCCAAGAAGTAAAGCAAACGCGAAAACTGTTGATGACCAAGTAGACAAGCAGCTGCAGCAGATGCCTGTGGTGAAACTGGAGAGGAGTGTCTCGCTGCCAGCCAAAGTTGCACTGCAGGATGGCAGCTGTCTGGAAGTCAAGGTGACAGACTTTTCAAACTACTCCCACTAATGCTCCTGATGATGTCTGCTGTCATCATCGGTCGAGTCAAAGTCTGATAAGTGATATTAATATGAGGGCGAAATATGATTGTGTCACAGAATAAGACAGAAAATGTGTCAAATCGTTTGTCTGTACATATATATTTTACAGATTCCTGCCAAACTAAAGACGACGTCTGAAAAGGATCAGCCAGTCTCGTGGAGCACAAAGATTTACCCGATCAGGAGTAGGTTTAGAGAAGCGCGTATCATGGTGAGCATGGACCTTTTTTACAAGTTCGCAGACCTTGTGTACACGACTGTGTCTTCCTTACATCTGTCTGTCTATGCTACAGTTTTAGCCACATTAACAGTGAGGTACTCGAGATAACAATGGCTCAAACATGTCAACAGCTGCTGGATGGATTGACATGAAATTTTGTACAGACATTCATGGTCCCCAGAGAATGTATCCTGTCAGCTTTGGTGATTTCCCTTTCCTCTAACACCTCCAGCAAGCCAAAGTTATGTCTAAAAGCTTTGCACAGACATTTATTGCTCCCAGACAATGAAGCCTGCAAATTTTTTGCAACCTTTTATCGTTTCATGTGACATCATTGCCTGTTCAACTAATGTTATTCCCATCAGCCTGAACTGTATCTTGAGCTTCGTGCTAATTAACAAATGTAGCCGGCTAACACGATAAACTAAGATGATGAAATGTGAAACAGTATACCTGCTAAACATCAGCATGTTAGCATTGTCATTGTGAGCATGTTAGCATGATGACATTAGGCCCGTTTCCACCGCAGGAACCACCCCTGAAGGACAGAGTTCCGGAACTTTTACAGGGGCTAAACCAGTCCCTGCCTCGGGGTACGTACTCAGAACGGCCCCGAAAGACTCCTGGCTGGGGCTTGGGGATTACTTGGTGCTGATTGGATATACTCAAGGAGAGATGTGACGACAACAGGACGCAACAAAATAGCCGGCATTTTTAAAACTCAGCAGACGAGGGTTAGCTCGTTCATATAGCTTCCGCCGCCATGTAAAAAAAAACTCACTAAATGGCCCGTGAAAAAAATATCTTTTCCAGCGGATATCTTAGTTACAACATGATTGAGCTAGCAAAGCAGTTTTGTGTTGCTATGTGTGGTATTTATTCAGTTATGGGAAGTCATGATGTCTAGAAAGCATCAGCTGACAGGGACAGCTAAAAGCAGCAGCAAAGCTAACATCAGGACGTGATCTGTTAAAAGCCTCCCGTTGTTGGATACGACATGAAACTACTCCAGTTAGCTCAATCATGTTGTAACTAAGACATCCGCTGGAAAAAAAATTTTTTTCACGGGCCATTTAGTGAGTTATTACAGACACCGCTATCGGCTAACGGCTAACGGCGTCCCTACGTCGACCCAGTCAAAATGGTCGCGCAACGATTACGTCACATCCAGAGCCCGTAACTTTACAGGAACCTTCCTCGTACTCCGCTCTCTCAGTGGAGACACGGCGGTTGAGAGGGCCGAACGAGAGGACGTTCCTGTAGTAGTTCCTGCTCCCCAAATAGTACCAGGAACATCTTCAGTGGAAACGGGCCTACTAGCTTTAAACTTAAAGCACTGCTGGGCAGAAGTACAGCTTTGCAGAGATGCTAGCTTTCTTCTTGTAGTCTCTTAGAGGCAAATTCACAAAGGATTGCAGCCACTGCCAGACATCAGACAGAATTGTCCTCTGTTTTCAGTCTGACATTAATGGATTTCCATCGAGGGGGGAAGATTCTATTTTCTCTAACCACTAACTAACCACTCCTGAAGGCCAAACCACACCAACGGCGAACGCTGCATGCAAAAAAATCTGCCCCTATTATTTTTAAATGTACAACTCCACACCAGTGGCGGCTAGACGCATGTTGGTGCTCCTGGACACACTGACCCACAGCATTGGATGCCACTGTCCTGTTTCCAGCCTCACTGCTCCCATAATTGAATGCATTTTTCCCCCACCCGCTCTCTGCTTGTACGCACCAGCTCCCGTAGCAGCTCTACTTTGCCCCTGTGGCAGGTGGACTCTTCTCCTCACCATTCATGCATAAAGAGAACTCTGTTTCTCTTGCTGTCTCGTGTGTGACAAAGAATGGATGAGGAGAGACTCGTTGTTGAGGTCAAGAAATATCCCGAGCTAAACGACCCACAATCCCGTCATTATAAAGACCATGGCCAAAAAGATCTTGCCTGGCGAGTCAGAGCTCTGGAGATCGACTCCTTAGATGAGAAATCACGTTTAATTAGGGGCTCTTCACATGTGATTTTAAGCTAACTCAGAGGTGGTAGAGGTACAGATCTTTCAGTAGAAGTAGTGATAACTTTGTTGTGGTTGCCTGTTAACAAGATTCAGTGTGACGCATTCAGTGTGTGTGAGAGGCGGCACTTGACGCACGTCACAGGACGTGATGCAGTGGCGCCCGTGTGTTTTCAGCTTCAGTCCCCCTGCGCTTACTGGTCATTTTTATTTTAACCTAGAAGCCGCCATTTCATGTCACAATGCCAAATGAATCAGTCAAGTCGAGCTTGTGGATTGGGCAGATTCAAAGGTCTGGACCCAGGCATTAATGGCCGCTGATAGCACCACAGACTGCACATCACGTTCAACCACTGTCTGCCCCGTCTCAGGGCCACAAAAGATATTGCGCTAATTATATTACAGCACAATCACACCCATAAAGTTTTGCAGCTGAGTGCAATTTGCCATTTTTTTCTGCACGTGATTGCCGTTATCTATGTGGCAAAGTATGAATGTTGCCTTTGCGCCAAAAACACAGGAGGGAGAACAATCGTGGACACGAGCTCCAGGTCCTGACCAACGAGGTGCAGAAGCATTTCTCAAAACGTAGCGCAAAGAATTTAAACTTCAGCCAGAAACTTTAGCTGGAGTTTAATTTCCCGGTCTGTCAGTGCTCATAACGTTTTAAAACGTACACCTTCATAGTGTAAAAGAAGCTCACATTATTTGAACTAGAAGACAAAAGAAAAGATACCTGTTTTGCTTTAGTTAACGCCAGCTCACTCACAATGTAAATAATTTCACGTTAACTGCATGTGGCTTTTAGCGCTGATAATGGAGAATTACTATTTCTCTTTTTGTGGATGTTATGAGAATCACACAGTTTCTTTTTGTCTTATTTGTGTAGGTTTAGCGGCTGCAAAAGCCACTCAGTCCTTCTGTGAATTTGCCAGTTATTCTGTTGTATTTGTCTGTATAATTTAATAAGTTTAATTTACTTTACAGGACAGTATGCCCTTTCTTGAGCCACTTGTAGACAAACAGCCATCCTCAGCAGGCCCACCAAGCCACACAGGCGGGCCCAAGAAAAATGGACAGTTCTTCAGTTTATCAAATGATGTGAGCTCAGCACCACCAATTCAGCCACAGCCTGTGGAGCCCTGTGGCATGGATCAACAGCCAGAGAGAAATAAAGAGAGACATGAAGAAGAATTGACTGTCCAGCCACAGGAAGAGGCAGAGAGCCCGAGGGGAGTGAAGAGGAGAGCAGAGTCAGAAGAGGAGATGAGTGATAATTCTACTGTGACCAAGAGGGTTTGCTTTGAGCAAATGGCACAGCCGACGCCTGAAACACACACACTGAGCTCCTTCTCCGCAGACATTGTCTGTGAAGTAGCAACCAGAGAATTGGGGGAGGTTTCCAGTGCAAGAGATGGTCTACGAAGAGAAAAAGGAGAGGCAGAACCAGTGTGGACTAAAATCAAACTCACAGAGCAAAGTTTGATGGATGAAGAGATGGAGAGCAGCGGTGTCACAGTGAAGCATTTTGCTCCACCCTCTTTACATTCAGAGAAGGAGGTGCGTCTGGGGTCGACAGGAAGCTGGGAAGAGGAGGACGACGAAGACATTGATGTCATTGGCGGTTCCAGCCCCGCCCTTGATCCAGTGATCATCAACTGGACTCAGTCTTCAGAAGGTGAGGAAGATGAGGACATTGATGTTGTTGGTGATGAGACAGACTACGAGTCATCGTCGGTCTTCATTACTGTTGATTAAGGTGAGCTTGTTGACAGGAAGTATCAGACTTAGATGCTCCTACATTTCCAGTTTTCTTTTATACTCGTATTCAGTTTTTGTTTTTTCCGACATTTCTCAGAAAACATTTCTGAATTGATTTCATTCAGCTGTAAGTAACAGTGACAGAGATCGAGACAAACATGGTTCAGTAGTAAACGTCTTCTGTTTTCATTTTGTTCACCTCAATGTGCAAACACACTGACAATCACGTGAGGGATTTTTGTTTTCCTATTCTACCAAAGTTTAGGAAAAGAAAAGTTGTGAGCAACATAATTTTGATTAGATAGAAAGGAATGAAAGAAAAGATGTGCAACATAATGCATAAACAAAATAACGGGACTGTGCAGTTAATATGCAGCTGTTGAGTTTCAGCTCTTGAGTTCAGTATTCAGACCTAGCCAGTGTCACACCGTCAAAGCTGACTGTGATCTTTTTTTGGATGTTGAAGATATTTAGCTGTTGATTTTATGGAGAGAGTTACAGATTTGTTACTACTAAGTCCAGTAATATGTGATTAAAAAATGTTCAGCATAGTTTGTTTTACCTGTCAAGTGTTGTGAACAACACTAACCGAAACTAACCAAACACTTTAGAAAAAGATTCAACACAAAAACAAAATCAGGTTTAAGTACCGTCAAAGTAATTAAGAGTGTTTTATTAGTTGTAAATGTGACTATGACTGTATAAGTTGTAAATATGATTGATAGTGTCAGCCTCTGTTGCGCCACAGTTTGTAAATGTTCCAGGAAAACTTGTGTCTTCCTTGTTTTACTCTCAGGTTATGTTTAACAGTGTCGAGGACTCTGGTTTCTACAATAAAAATTCTTCTCTAGTTCCTGCAGCAGCTCTGCTCTGTCACTCTGGATTTCATTTTAAGATGTACAAGGAAGTTAAAGTGGCAGTCTCAAAGGTTTCAGCCCTAATTGATTTGGCAAGACCTGTAGGTACTGGTGGTAGCAGCAGTTTAATGCCAGGGCCACACCGGACGCGGAAGCTGTGCGAATAGCCTCGAAGTGAAGCCAGTTTCCTTTCGGCACCCATGTTAACCGATTGTGTCATCCACACCGGCTGCGCTGCGCAGCTCCGTAGCCGGCACTGCAGCGATTGTTTCGGCGTCTGGTCTATTTTCTGCGTGAGCCGCGAGCAAATGCGTCAAGCCGGGAAGGAATATAGGCTATACATATTAGTCAGTGGTATCTAAACAGAGCGCGAGAGAGATGAACACACACACACACACACACACACACACAAGAAAGAGAGAGGGCCGGCTATAGGGGGTGGGGGTTGGGGCACACACACGCAAACAGAAAGAGATACTCATGATGGAAAAACAGCCCCAAATGTGACGGAGACAACAGGTGGGAGCTGAAGCGCTTGTTGACCGGCGTGGAGAAATGCGCGTCTGATGTGAACGGGCTTGCGCGAGAATTTTGGTGCGCTGCGCTTCGCAGCACTTCGTTGGCAGTGTGGCCCTGGCATAATAGTTCAGGTCACAGAGATCTGTGGGCAGCGAAACAAACATTTTAATGAAGTCAGGCAATTACTGGTCTTTTTCTGTCATTCTGTGACCAACCGTGATCGGATGCCAGCTGATTGGCCGTTAAGCTCAGTGCATGAGAAGAGAAAATGGGAGTGAGGAAAGCAAACAAACAGCTAAAGTCAAGACGCTGTGATATCAAAACAAACTTGTTAAAAAATTTTAGCCATTGAGCTCTTTAGCAGAAACAGCTCGTAATTGTGTTATTGTTCACTGTCTCACAATTAATAGTCTTTATTCTTCCAACATCAGGTTATGTTAATGTGCTCACTTGCTATCTAGCGTCTTGAGTCCTAGTCTTCCAGTTTTCATTTTTCAATGATGAACACAGAGCATCACTGTCTGCTGGTATGGAGAGTTATTTCCTCTCACGCAGGCGCAGAACGTGCAGGTGGTATGAGTTTGGACAGCAGGGCACAGTGAGAGGAGTTAGTTTCCACACTGTGGCTCCTGACTGTTCCATCGCTCTCTGCATTTATGATGAACAATAGCCGTAAGTGCTAGGGCTGGCAATCACTAGAGGCTCCACTGTACAATATTATCACGATACTTTAAGTCACGGTACAATATTATTGCGATTTTAAACGTGTTGCGATATGCTGAGTATTGTATACTGTATACTGTAAATTACGTCCCCGGAGAAAAACTTTGTCAACATCTGTACTATCTAATAAAAGAAAGTAACGTTTGTTTTGTATTAGTAATATTGATATTTATATAATACAAAAAACTGATACTCGGCGCTGTGTGACGATACGCAATTGCCATACAAAACTATTGCGATACTACGCTGTATCCATTTTTCCCCTACCCCTAGTATGTGCTAAGCTTAGTGAAAATCACATTGCATTTCCAGTAACTACTTCATAACAAAAGTCAGATCGTGTTTCGCCAGTTTAAACCTTTTAATGTGAAGGTGCAGCAGAAGGAACCTTCTATGTTTGTAGTAGTAACGTCAAACAGCATTTTTCTGTCAATGTTGCTCTTGACACTCGGTTCAGTATACTGCAAATATATGAATATTATAGTACTTTAATTAGTGGGCCATAGGCTCAGGCTCAGTCACCATTGTGTGACCTCATTTGGTGATAGTGAATAAAGAAGATTTAAATGAAAATCTGAGAGATTATTACTTTAAAGGTCCAGTGTGCCAGCTTTAGGGGCATCTATTCGCAGAAATGGTAGGCTTTATAATATCCATAACTATGTTTTCAGTAGTGCCTAATCACTGGGAAATAATAATGAGCTGTTTATATCTACATATGGAGCAGTGGAGTCCACCATGTTGTTCTACAGTGTATCGAATTTCTTTGTGCTGCTCATTGTCAAAATAGCAAATCATATTTTATTTGTGTTTTATTTAATTGCAGCATTTTACTAAATATTTTATTTTTTGTTTTTTGGCTATTTTTATGTTGTTGTTTTTTTTTTGTTTTTACATTCAGCTCTCTCAGCCATACTAAACAGTGTCATTAAAATACTGGATGTTTGTCCTGTTTCCTCCCCTGTCCTACCCCTTTTTCCATTAGTCCTCATCTTCCTTTACAGTATGCTGTTTGTCTAATTTAGCACTTTTAATTAGTTTGGCAATTATGCTTTTGAATACACATAAACATGTGGCTCCATTTTCAGGCTTGAACACATGGTACAAATACCAGTTACTCCTGCTACATACTTTTAAGTTTCAGAAGCGTCCATAGACATTCTGAATTCTAGTTTCTCTATTTAAGCCCACTGCAGCCACAACCACTGTTCTAGACAGTTTACAGGCACCTATCACACCTGCAGGTGGTGTGTTTCATGCTGCAAAGAGAGATGAAGCACACTTTATTCATCACATACAAACTTAATGAAACAAAACCACCTGAAGTGAAAATGAGTTTATTAGTTATCAACCTGTGGATCAACCTCCTACACACAACAACAAAACACATCTGAGCTGCACCACAGCACAAGTCGGCTGTACTGAGGAGACTGCCGGGGAGGTTTCCCGCTCACAGCGCCACGTTGGAGCTTCATCTCCCCCCTCTGTTTGGTTCCAGCTCATTGAGGAGTCGCTCTGCTCATCGCCCAGCTCAGGTGAGGAGTGCAGCGCAGGTGTGTGTTTGTGTGTGAGTGTGTAGGGACCTCTAAACCAAATAAAAAGACACTGTGTGAGTGTCAGTTATGTCAGCGTGTGTGTGTGGTGGAGCGTGTGTTTCCCTGTGCTTTAACAGTGCGATATTGTCTCTTATCACACTCTGGCAGCGGCTGTAAATCAGTAGTGGTGTTGGGGCGGCTGTTGCGGCTCAAGTCAAGAGGAAGGAAAGGATTGAAGAGAGAAAGAAAGAAAGAGGGGGAAGGGGGTTTTGGGGATGAAGGGAGGGGGTGGAGGGGAGCTGCTGTCTCAGTCTCAGCCTGTCCTCCTCTCAGTGCTGGATACGCCTGATGGACTGGATCTGAGGGGTCTGACAGTGGGAGCCCCAGTTCCTCCAGTGCTGGTAGTCTCCACTGTGTCTCTCACACTCCATGATGTACTGCTGGCCCCTGTAGCCAGGGTACTGGTAGCACACAAAGCTGCATGAAGAGGGAACAAGGGTTAGCGGGACAAATTTAGTAACAAATTTAGTACACACTTGAAGCTTCCAGCTGGTGTGTCTATTACATATAATACAAGATAATGAGGGCCTGTGGTGACAGTGTGTTTGTCGAATTTGATAGAGCAGAAAGCCAGATTTGAAATGAATGTCCAGTAAATCATGTGGAAAGTGGAGTGTTTGCTGATAAATTGCATCTAATTCTTGCTGTCCACACAGAAACTTACGCGCCGCACTGCACGTGCATGGAGCCAACTTCAGGCATCATCCAGCCCATGGCCTGCAGAGAGGGGTAGTCGTCACAGATCTCCACGCTGCGGCCCATGAAGTTCTCCCTCTCAAAGATGACCATGCGACTGCTCTGGTGGGACTGCAGCGGGACAGAGAAACAAACAGTTGAATTTCGGACTCTTGAGGTTATCCGTTGCTTGTCACCTGAACACTAAGAGACAGGAAGTACTCACAGCGCAGTAGATGGGGCGCAGAGACATGAGGCGCTCCACATGGTAGGAGATGGAGCCGCTGTAAGCGTCCCAGTGGGGGTACTCTCCTCTCTCCAGGATGAACTGCTGGCCCTGGAAGTCGTGGTGCTCAAAACCCACCCAGCTTTTCAGAGAGAGAAGGAGAGATATGTCAACATCACTTTACTGTGTGTCCATCTGAAGTTGTGTGTTTCTGAAATCTAACTTAGTTTGGAAAAATTCTGACTATTTCACAGTGTGAGTAAATAGATTTTACATATATATATTTTAAGATATAAAAACCATAAAAACAATCATAAAAGAAATATAAAATAGTGACTGTAATGATAGAAAAAGGTGATAATAAGGACAATAAACGGATGCTCCAAACTGGATTTTGGAGAATTAACACATCTCTTTCTCTACCAGGCTCAAGAGCAACAAAACAAAAGCACACAGCTCACTTTGCAGAGTCAACAACTCAATTGTCTCAGTGCTTAAAGCTTCCCACATGACTCCTCTTTATCTCCTGTTGCTGTTTAAGGTGGGTGTATGATAATAACATTTCTTGATTCACCCCATCTGTATATTTCATTAATGTCTCATCTGTGTCTTGTTTTTAACCAGAGGAAAAGTCTGAGACACTTACGCTCCGCTCTCCACCCTGATGGAGCGGATGTTGTCCAGTCCGCAATCCTGGATGTTGCAGCACTCGGAGGTGAACTCCAGGCACTTGCCCTGGAAATGCTCCTGCTCGAACACAGTCACCTGAGGGAGACATGGAGAGTGAGGAACATCAAACAACAAGTAACGAGTTTGGCAATAAGGTCGCCTGTCCATCTTTACCAAGAATTTTATAATGTGTGAACAAATGAGTGTGTTTACCTTGAAGAAAGGAGCCATGCCCATTCCTGAGTTGACCAGCGGCTGCATCATTGGGGACCTTGTAGTTCTGTACATCTTTACTCCTGAGGTTCAGATGAGGACAGAGAAAAGAAAAGCAAGGTAAGATATGGATGTAGGAGGAAAAAATGTCCTTTGAAGACTGGTTTCGAGCATCAGTAATTCAATATTCTAGAGTATTTGGCCACTTTTTCTAAGTGTAAAACATGATGGTGCTCAATATCCATTTACAGACACACCACTGTGAATCATTCAGCTACAACACGTGAACTACAACATCTGGAGACCAGAGACCATTTACCTTGTAAAATGTTTTTAAAGTAATTGAAAATATAAAATATGAAATACTGATAACA